TTTCCCTCATTCCAAACACCGGAAAAGTTCACTATTATTTTCAATGTTGAAAAAAAAAAAATTTAAAAGGTGAAAAGAGCGAAAAACAAGCTCTGATTTACGAAATGCTCCAAATCGAAAGCAGCAGTTGAAAGTCTGCATCACTGGAGAGTCCAGTACAGATCAGAAAGCTATGCATAATAGTAAACGTAAAAGGCAAGTAAGGTTGGTTGGAGCAACAAAAGCTTCACTCGAGTCTCACATAGCATATCGAGATGCAAGAGCATATATGGATGAAATGAAGTGATCTGAAAATGAAATTGAAGCGATAGAGTGACTCACCGGAAAACGTCCCAGCAGCAATCGAGGCCTTGGATGGGAGGAGGGAATCCATCCTTGGCGAAGAGGCTACGATAGACAGGTCCACGAGATGGCCTTCCCTGGCTCGCTTCCTGCGCTTTCTCCACCTCAATGATGAATTTCTTCTGCGCCATTGCACCGCCAACGGAGAAGAGAAGAGAAGAGAAGATAGGAAGATAACTTATTATGAGAAAAATGGGTACAAGTTGTGACTAATGCCAATGCGCCCTTTGACTTGCCTGCCTCTTGCGTTTGCTTCCCGAGCAATCCCAATAGACTTTTAAAAGAATTAGGTTTCGGATGGTCAACAATTTCTCAAAAATTCCCAATCCTTTTTTTTTTATTATTTCTTTTTCATATACCATGCTCTGAAAAAAAAAAATTGGCAATATCTTAATATATATATATAATTTTTTCGTTCATGGAGTATCACAGTCATAGCTGATAGCAGTGACTAATCTTATATTACGTTAGAGGTACTTCAAAGAATGAGATAGACCTCAAGATTTAACGCGACTGCATACACAAGACAATATCTTAGTATGTTCAAACCAAACTTTCAAATTTCATAACAAAACTTTTGGAATAAAAACATTTTGGTGTTTAGGTTTGGTACTCTAGTCAAAACTAATGTAATTTTAAAAGTTAGTTAAATACTCTATCTCTCTTCACGAATCACATCACAACATATGCAATTTTTTTTTTTAGAAAGTTAAAGTCTCGTAATTATTTTTTCTTACCTTAATTTCAATTTAACCATTATTACAATATTAATTTTTTAATAAATAATTGAATAAGAATATTTTAGTTCAAATATAAAATTTTGACGTTTAAGACTTTATTAATAATCTTTCTTTACGCTAATTATTAACAATCGTAACAATGAAAATTTGTTGATAATAGATGATTTATGGTGGATTAAAAATTCGTTAGTACGATCATTTTAAAAAATATTCTATTGATAATATTTTAATCTATAAAAACAATTTGATAGATGAACCTATAAAAAAAATATTCATCAATAATTACCCACAATTGTTTCTATAAGAAATTATGGACAGATTTTTTTATCAAAAACATGAGGTCATATATGATTATTAGATAATTTGTCAATAACACACACTAAATTTTTGACGACTTTATTTGTCAATAATTATAAAATAATTTACTAATAGAAAAATTCATCAAAAGTTACATGCAAATATATCGTATAAGACTGATCAAGTGAGTTTAAAATAACAAAGTTTCATTTTGTATAGTTGGATTTAATGAGGTTAAACCATATTAGATTCAAACATTTTTATATTATTTTTAGGGTTTAATTTGATTCTGCCATATATTAAAACCGATTTTTTTTGTTGCTTTTTTTTCTTATTCTAAATGGATCAAAATTCGTAAAATTATTATTTTCAACCATTTATTAGTCGTCGAAATATTTTTTTTATTTAATAATTGATTTTACTAATATATATCATAAGAAAAAGTAGTGAATCAATAAATCACATTTATGTGTTTTTTTAATTATAGGTTTAAATACCAATAAAATAGCAAATTACATTTTGAAAAATTACGTATTGAATATGTAATTTTAGTTTTAACGATATGTACAATCCATAAGACATTCTATATAATAGCAATAATTACATTTCACTCTCATTCTCTTAATTCTATATAATAACAATAATTACATTTCACTCTCATTTTTTAAGAGAATTGTCAAGCTTCTCTCTCTCTCTCTCTTTTATAAGCTTGTTCCTACATGATGAAAACACATCACAAATTTAGGTGAGTTATTTAGTTGTTAGCATACAAACTTTTTTTTTCTTCTACATATTAAAGATTAAAATAGAAAAATTACTTTAAAAATCATTCAGCTACTTCTATAAGTAAACCAGAGACATTACTTTGCAGGTATTTTATCAGTCTTTAATCTCTTGAATTTGCTTTGCCTGCATAAATTGATGGTATAAGATCAAAGAAAAGGTAGTATCTGAACAAACATACAAAAAGCAAACGTGGAGCATAATCGAGAAGGGAAGAGGAAAACCACTATGGCAGCTTCACCTTCTTTGGAATGTTGTCTACTGATGAGGCGAAGCATGGAGCCTTAATATCTACTGAGAAAACAACTTAGTAAACGATAGGAGCCACAAACCCATTCTAAAGGATTAGGCCCTCAGGAACCATAGGAGATCAAACCCACACCTCGATCACAAGGTTGTCTGCCAAACACTAATAACACAAATACTATCATCACAATCTATCTAGTAAAATCAATAAGATGTACTTATATTAAATAATATTTTATTCAAATTGATTTATGCAGTTCAACTAATATCTACTCACCCAGTACTTTGATCGAGTGAACAACCGGTCCGAGTTTAAAAATATGACAAAAAGTGAAAGCCTTGATAAAGGGCTTTCCGATGCACGTAATAATAAAACCAACGCACGGATGCATGGGTCCACAACACTGGCCTTTGTGCTTCTGCAAGCCTATGTATCAGGGTTTTCAAGCATGGCCTTCGAGTTTTAACAGCTAAAAAGTGGTGCTTTCATTTTGTCTTTTCTTTCTCGCCGAATACATTTCCATTTGCATGCAAAATGGGAATGTGGAGTTTTAGATTAGCAGGTTACAGAGCCATTTTGTAAACCAAAACAAAACTGCCTAAGTGCGTGTTTGTTTTAGCTTTTGGACGTGAAAATTCACGTTTGCGAGAAGCAAAAAATTGTAACTTCTACGTAAATTGGCTTGTAAACGTGGAGAGAGAGTGAAAAATCATGTTTCTAAATCTAAAGCAAACACGCACTAAGTGAAAGCAAAGGAGATCGTCACAGATGTACGTTTCCCATTTTGCTGCACTATAATGGAAATCATTGGGATGAAGAATTTCTCCGCACCATGTGCACCAGCAATAAATGGTGATGCCCTACATATGTAGTTAATTGAAGAGACTTCAAATTTGAATTTGAATTTTTTTTTTTCAAATTTGGACGGGGAAATCACCTATATATATATAGGATTTCATGTGAAACTAGGGTGTGATAAATCCGCGTGGGTGTTTTGAGTGGTGAAAACATGTATAATGAACGTTCATTTCCACTCAAGTTTCTCTCTCTTGTCTTTTCAACTTCTACTAGAGTGACAAGAGCAGGGGTGCGCAAAGAAGAGAACCAGGTGCTGATAATTTTTTGTGATACTACTTCTGTTTTCAATTTTCTTTTGGTATGTGAGTGAACAAGAAATATTGATTTTCTTTAATAATATCCATATAATTTAAAAGCAATTATAGAGGAGCATTTAAATGTTCATTTTGTAATATTTACTTTGAAAATCATTGTAGCTTAATTCTTTCACGCAAATACTTCATTGATGATTTAAATTGGAATTATTTATTTTAAATAATGATATATCAAGAAAGTAATGTCTATTTTTTTAGTGATATATATCTTCATTCCAATGAAATTTTCTACAATTTTGGAGAAATAAAACATCTATTTATATTTCTTCTATGTATATTCTTATATCATGTTAAAAATTTATAAGTATATTGGCTTTAGGATACCACACAAATTCTTCAGGATCAACCACAACTTCAGAATGGATAACCTTCTAATTATATATTCTAGCATTTTATTCTTTTTTAACAACTTTAAGGAAGGACAATCTTCTAATTATACATAAAAATTAACATACATGTAAATTTTTTACGACACGAGCAAGTTAGATTTAAAAATTTTAATCACTAAATAAAAAAAAATCAAAGAATTTATCATGAAGTCTTCATAAAGATATGATATATTATGAATTATTATGTTTACTTTTAATTTATGTATTAATTAGATTAATAATAAAACAAAACTATTATTTCTTATAATTATTTAATTTTCTACAAGTAAACAACCATCAAACTCTTGTGGTAAAACGAATAACAAACTTAATACAATAATTCTATAATTAATAACATTACACTTATTAATACTTTAATATTTATTGATAAACTCTTTGGTACTAAATCTAGTTACATTACAATCTAGTCTCAGTCACTGGGTTTATTTCCACTCCTGTACAAGTTGTCAATGGCATTCTGTGCACAAAATAAAAATGATGCAGTCAGTACTTTTATCACCCTCCACCATTCCATCCCTGTCCCAAAATCAAATTTAACAAAGCCTTAAAGTAAAATGAAAGTGGCTTGACTCTGAAACCCATTAGATTAAAATGTGCGATAGAAAATTGCATTTTAAAAGCGGAGCGGTTTCACAGAAATTCAAGACCGTATTGATTTGATCACACTGAGTCACTGACTAGTAGCCAACACAATCAACAGAATAGGAATTGACTGACATTTCCCAACCTTTTTATTTGTTGTTTGGGAATGAGTAAACAAAGGAAGAAGAAAAAAAAAGAACCTTTCATTTATGAACTATGAAGGCTGTACCCCACTTTAATACCTATTCTATTCAATATGAATTGAATGAAATCCTGAGAACTTGACAACGTGTACCTGATAGTATTTAAGCAACTGAGGCCTCTTCTTCTTATATGTTGGAGTGATAAGGTCACGTTCCATGTCAAATGGAACTGGCTCAAGGTGAACTCCTTTTATAAACTCAAAACCTTTCAACTGCCAAATACATACACCATTCCACAAAGTTTCAGGAAATATGGTTGGTTGTACAGACATGTCTACATATTGTATAGATCATTTAAAGCCAGTGAAAGTCCAGACAAAATATTTCATGTTATATATTATTATTACCAAAAAATAGTATATTGTATGCGAATTATAAAAAATCTTGTTCGTTGTAGAAAACTACCTCAAGATGCGAAATTTTATCAATGAGATATAAACACACAAAACCGATTATAACAAATTAGAATAATGATAATAAATGTAAACTAAATAAATAGGACCTTCTTTTTCTTTGCAATCTTTGAGAGATCTTCAACTATGTAACGTTTTGCTCTAGGATCTTCACAGAGAGAATCGAAGTCCATGGATATACCATTTTCTTGTGCCCAATGTTCAAGTGCTTGCTTACTGGGGTTAACAACAGCAACAAGGAAAGACTCAAAACTGTTTCCATAAATCCATATCTGAAATAGAGGAGAAAAACTTTTATATCAGCATGGAACAGAACATTTACATCTCATAAAATGAAGCTTATTTAAAACTTCGTTTCTATTTTTGCACTGGACTAAACCTTCTGACATCATTATTCATTTAAAGGTCTCGGTATAAGAACAAATAATTGTACACATACATGCCACACCACTTGAACATCAAATGATCATACTGAACCAATACCACGAAATATAGGACTATGGTGAGACTGATATAGATCAACATGCACCAATACCATGGAGCATACGACTATGGCCAACATACATGTGTACATGCTGATGTGAAAAAGTTCTATATGGTTAAAGAATAATGTGTCCTATAAGAAGCAAATGCGACTTGGATATTTGGGGATGGAAGAAAAATATCCAAGCCTAAAAGTAGGATGGCTGCATAAGCTGAAAAACAAATGGAGGATTTGTCTCATTTCTCTCAAAAGTTTTGTAATCCTATATCATGAATCACCTTGATATGGTAGTATGTGAGTAACATTTTACAATCCTCTACAAATTTTTCCAACATGATATAAGCAATAAATTCACAGCAAGATAGGATTCCAAAACCATTTGAAGGAGAATAGGATTCACAGGACATACAGATTCAACAGAAGAAACTCGACTGTAAATATTCTCCAGGTTTTCAACTGCAATATATTCTCCTTGTGAAAGCTTAAATATATTCTTCTTTCGATCAATAATTTTCATGCTTCCATTGGGTTGCCACTCTCCAATATCCCCTGTTGAATATATCATTTGCAAAAATAATAAAAACTGTGACCAAATGGCTAACATAGAATTGTGTCCATAAAACCTCAATTTCAGAAAATAAATGAAATAACCTGTATGGAACCATCCATTGATCATAACCTCTTTGGTGAGGTCTTCACGTTTGTAATACCCTGAAAACAAGGTTTTTCCTTTTACACAAATTTCTCCTCTTGGTGTGCTGGCTAGGGCATCGTACCCCATTTCAGGAACAGATTCCAGACACACGTCCACATTTGGTACAGGAGGGCCCACTGTTCCAAGCATATCCATTTCATTTGGTAAAGAGACAAAGGTTCCCGCGCAAGTTTCCGTCAGACCTATTTTCATTTCAACGAGTAAATTAAGGCCATAATCTAGTACAAGGGCAATAAATCTAGAACTATGATAAGCACCCAAGCACTTGGGAAATTCTCCCTTAACGTTGTTAAGAGGGGATAACCAAGTCATTTATAATTTGTTTTAGGAACATGTTTTATTTATTTATAAAATAAGTACAACTTCTCATCCTAATTATAAGTAACATAAGACATATCATCAAGATTAAGAGAGGTCATTAAAATCATACCATAAATTTAAGTTTTATTTTAAATATACTCTTTATATTAAATTATTATTATATTTAATGCGTATTTAGTAACACATCTAAAACGTGAATCAAAGTAAAAATCTAATTTAAAATATAAAAGGTATAATTGATAGTTTTCATTTTAATGTGATAAATCCCTTGAAAATTTGAAACACATACTTAATTTTAATTATAAACTAAGGCATAAGAAATAAAATTAATAATAAATAAAAGATAAAAAAGATTTAACTTTAAGTAATACTAAAAATTAATAATTGTTGCATATAATTATAACCAAAAAAAAATTTAATTTATTGTTTATAATTAAGACGAGAAGTAGCAACCTAGTGTTAGCTTTCACGTTAAACGTGAATTTTCACGTTTCCGTTCACGTTTCCTAAAGACAAACACCCACTATGTGAGTTTGATTTTCGTATTTAAAAAGAGCATACCATATCCTTGTAGGACATGAGCACAAGTCACAACCCGTAAGTAACCTTCCACATGTGCAGATAAAGGTGCTGCTCCAGACAAAATAAGACGTACTCTACCCCCTAAACCTTTCTTTACCTAATCAAGTAGCAAAACCATGATTAGTAAAAAAAGAATCCTGTCATAAGAGAGACTACGAAGTTCACATTTATAAATTCACTACCTTATCAAACACAATTTTATCAAGAAGTGGAGATGCCTCTCCATGTGTAATCCCTTTCTTCATGTTATTCAGCTTACTGCAATCAAATTTCAGAATTTGCATTATTAGAATATTGCAGAGCTAATTAACAAAGATTAATACACACACACACCCCACTGATTTAGATACAACCTAATAAAAATTAATATTAATTTGTAAGTGAATTCAAAGGGGAACTATCTTAGTCCATTATTCCATAATATCTTTAGAGAGGACCCATGACAGTTCATAATTGCAGGTTTGTCATGATTTCACCCAGACTCAAGTAATTATTTACGAAAACAGCACTTACTATGAATATGCGAAGTTGAATAATGTCTTCTTTAAGAAGCCACCGGAAGAAATCTTTTGTGCCAAACCTGTGTATAAGATGAGGGTTGAGAGTCATAATGCATATATTTCCAGTTGGTACAAGGGAGGAAGAAAAATGGAAAAGAAAAATAAGAGAAATGCCACACCAGTGATCAAGAAATATTTTACAGCTTAGTTTTGCCCTACCGAAATCATCATTTGACAATCAACATTAAGTGTTGATGGAAAGATCATCAATTGTAAATAATCATGAGAATTTTCAGGAGTTTACCCGAGTACACTCTATCAAGCACACGGGGAACAGCACAGAAAATAGTTGGAAAAAATAGTATATTGTATGCAAATTATAAAAAATCTAGTTCGTTGTAGAAAACCACCTCAAGATGCGAAAGTTTATCAATGAGATATGAACACACATACACCAAATACAACAAATTGGAATAATGATAATAAATGTAAACTAAATAAATAGGACCTTCTTTTCCTTTGCGATCTTTGAGAGCTCTTCAACTATGTAACGTTTTGCTCTAGGATCTTCACAGAGAGAATCGAAGTCCGTGGATATACCATTTTCTTGTGCCCAATGTTCAAGCGCTTGCTTACTAGGGTTAACAACAGCAACAAGGAAAGCCTCGAAACTGTTTCCATAAATCCATATCTGAAATAGAGGATAAAAACGTTTATATCTGCATGGAACAGAAATTTTCATCTCATAAATTTAAAACTACGTTTCTATTTTTGCACTGGACTAAACCTTATGACATTATTCATTTAAAGGTCTGGATATAAGAACAAATAATTGTACACATACATGCCACACCACTTGAACATCAAATGACGGAACCAATACCACGAAACATAAGACTATGGTGAGACTAAATATATTCACAGCAAAATAGGATTCCAAAACCATTGGAAGGAACAGGATTCACAGGACATACAGATTCAACACAAGAAACTTGACTGTAAATATTCTCCAGGTTTTCAACTGCAACATATTCTCCTTGTGCAAGCTTAAATATATTCTTCTTTCGATCAATAATTTTCATGCTTCCATTGGGTTGCCACTCTCCAATATCCCCTGTTGAATATATCATTTGCAAAAATAATAAAAACTGTGACCAAATGGCTAACATAGAATTGTGTCCATAAAACCTCAATTTCAGAAAATAAATGAAATAACCTGTATGGA